AGTGAGAGTCACCCAGTTCTCTGTGGTTAGTAAGGGAAGAGGTGAAAAAAAGATCAAAAAGATCAGGTTCGTCAGCTTTTTCTTGTATGACGTAGGCAGATTCTACAGGGGACTAAAGGAAATAGTATCTCTGCCTCCTGCGGTCAACCAATACCTGTTATTCTTTAGTCTGATCCTGTAGAAAACAGTCTATAGAAAACAACTAATCTGTAAACTGAAGGTAGGATTCTGAATTAAAAAAAAAAGTATGAAAATATTTCTTTATAAATTACTTTGGGAGTCACAATTTAAATTTGGTCCAAGTTTCAAAAAGACTATGCTCGTGAGGAGGCAAGGTTTAACTTTTTGGAGCTGTGTTCAGCTGAACTTTTTTTTTTTTTTTTTTTCCAGTCATTTATTAACAGCTGCATCTAATGCCTCACTTTAAGAACGGAGAGCAAGACACAATTACTGAAGCTGAACTCCTAGCCATGAATCTTGGTGTTCCCAGTCTCTGGCTTAAACAAAAAACCCAAAACAAAACCAAAACCAAGCAAGCAAAAAAATCCCAATCCACTCCCAAGAAGGGACAATATCGTATTCAGGGAATAGAAAGACTCACCCTGGTTTTGGCATCGATCTGCCCTCCGCGATCCAACAAGAGCTTCACCATGTTTGTGTTTCCCCTTTTGGAAGCCACATGCAGTGGGGTGATTCCATTCTACACCATGAAAAGAACAAACAATGAGCATGACAGATTTGAAGGTGTGCAATGGTGGTGAATTTGCGTTCGGATCACAAAAAATGAGACCATCACATTGGAGAGAATAAACAAAAATGTACTTGAGCATCGGAGCTAGGCACACACCATATAAGCTAGAGTTAGTAATTCCTTTCTAAGCAAGAAACTTTATTCATCATTTGGGGTTTTTTAAGAAATGAAGAAGCGCATCTGCCAAAGCTGCAAACACCACAGTCCCAGAGTCAGACAAATAAACAAACATGTATCAGAGTCCCAATGAGTCAATATTCACAAAACACCGATGCATTTTAATCACTGAACATACACAGAGTACACAAACGCGTGACCCCTGCACAAAGGAACCTTCTTAGTGTAATGCCAATAGCGTAAAGGAGTAGGTCCTTGTTTAGGCTGATAGTCCTTGCAAACGCTTTGGGTGAGGGAAGAGGTAATATTAGCAGCTATTCCAGACTGGCAACAGGAGGAGGTCAGTCCGAAAGGCAGAACCCTAAAGTAATTCAAAGGGTGTCTGTCAAAATTAAACAGAAAACTTGTCATCCAGTAGCTACATCGAGGTACAGCTTACCAGAGGTTTTCACGGCACCAGATGCCGTGCTTCAAACCACGTAACGTACCACAGCAGCGACTGTACTACAGTAGCCGTGATCAGTTTTATTGTTGCATTTATAGAACCGAATATACCTTACTTTACTTTTTTAATATATGTTTATATGTGAAAATATCCAATTAAAGTAGCATAGCAATTACCGAATACTGAAAAAGCCAATAAATCCTACATATGTTTCTGGAGTAGGTGTAACCAACAGAAAAGCTGAAGTGAGTTGACACGTTATGAGAGTATCAGCTTTCCGGAGCTAGTCAAAGGGCCCTGCTTCCTTCAGCTGGGAATACTGGTCGCTACTCAACTCCCAAGGACTCTGGTGCATTGCATGGAGGCAACCTTTAAGAATTACCGCCAAAAAAAAAAAAAAAAAAAAAAAAAAAGACATCTTCGAACACAACAGAGTTTCAGCATTACTTTGCTCCTCGCTTCTTCTTGACTAAGAATTACACAAAGAAACGCTCCCACCTTGGTAGGCCATTACAACCAAGAAGAGAAAGAAATTCCTCCGTACCCTTGCTGTGAAATCGACTGCAGCTCCTCGGTTTAGCAGAAGCGTTGCCACATTGACATTTCCATAGTGCGCGGCTATGTGCAAAGGTGTAAAGCCACTCTACAAAGGGAAACAGCCCTTATTACAGAAATCATTTTATACAGGATAATCAACTTAACTAGAATTGACTGTAAAAGCTGCCGGCAAACAAATGTGTCTGGATTTGATCCAGTTCACCTAACACATAGCACAGCCCTTCAGGCAGAGGGTGCAGATTTCATATGAGAGGTTACCAAAAGTGCTTCATTCTTTCATTCTCCAATTCAGTCTTTGGAATCAGTGGCCAATAAGAAGAGCAGCTTTCATCATCGGAAATACGAATACATTAGCCATTCTTAAAGAAAAGAAAGGAAGCTTCCTTATTACAATTTGGAAGCAACCTGGGTCTTTTGGGCTGCATCTGATTACCGGTTCTGGGTAAATGACCACAAAAGTTGTTGGACTCTTATTTTACTGCTCTTAGAATTAGAAATATTGACAACATATTTCTATTTTTTTTTTTTTTGAAAAAGCAGTGGTTATTCATCATGTAACCCAAGAATTTTGTACAAGAGAAACTACTTAGTAGCACAGTATAGGAATCATTTATATTTATATGCGCTTTGGATCTTGAAGGATCTAAGCAACTTTGCCATCTATACACCAGAAAAACCCACAATTTACTTATTGCCTCTGGAACACTACAAGGTGAAACCTGCTCCAGCTACGAGATACAGAATTGCTTGATAACAACATAAAAAGCTTAACTTTTCAGGAACTAGGACACAGAGGAAGCTTTTAGTCTCATAACTAATTCAAGTAGAAGGGACCTTGATTTTGAGGTTTCCCTGAAGAGCTTTACACAGATTTGACCAGACCTGTTAGTTATAGAAAGAAAGAAAAATTTTGGGCTTCTAGACTCGGGTGTATTTTTCACGAGGTTTCATTTCTTTCAGTGTACAAATCATCATTTTAAACTACTCATGTAAGAAAGAAATGTAGGCAGATGTTGCACTCTGAAATCAGCTTTATTCCCAAAAGAGTCAGCAATCAGCCCACGATTTTACCCTAATTCCATTTACTTCCCTGTCAGTCCACAGGTGATCCTGGCCAAAGTACAGCCAAACACTCAATGAATTCAGTCATCTTGCTGGGATAAATTACCAGGGAAATGTCTACCGAGGGTATTAGGCACACAAAAACGATGCTGCAATAAGCTGTCGACTGAATGCGCCTCGCATTAACAACTGCCTTCTGGTGGACACGTGTTTGCCTGGTGACAAACGCGAGGCACCGAGAGGCAACGTAATGCCCGGGGAAGGAGAGGTAACCCCCTTCACATTCACCCTAGGGAACAAGGGGCCGATGGGAAGATGCCAGGGAGAAGCTGTCACCATTCCAGTTGACATCGCCGGCCACCTCGTGGCAACCTGCTCACGTGCGCGCACGCCAAGCGTGAAGCGCTTTCACGGGGGCGTGCGCATGCAAAATTCATTCCCTCGTCTAACAGAGAAACTCTGTCATTTAAAAGCAGGGATTAAAACAATGACCACACTCCTGGAAATCCTTCTTTTTCCTAAACCTGACAATAATCGCAGTCCTAGCCGATCAGACCCACGATTTTTAGCAGAAGTGCTTGAAAAGTTGCTATTGCCCGAATCTGTATGAGAAAGGTAATATTATCTGCTGCAGGTAAATTCTGAGTATGTGCTATCCCTTACGGACTTTTCAAAACTTTATGGTAAAAATAAGCAGATGCTCTGAACAAGTTTTTACCTTGGAGGATTTGATTATGTTTATTACTGTAAAAGAAGGAAAACTGAATTTACCATTATTCTGGCTGAGCCAGACACCTTAATTTAGTTATGCCAAGGGAGTGCATTTTCATAATTAGTGAAACTGAGCTAGAAAAGCATCTTTATCCTCTCAGCTCCATTACTCGCTTCAGACTTATTTGAACTTATGTGAAGTCTCAAAAGTTTACTTCAATAGTGACACCAATAAAAAGAAATTCTAAGACAAAGGATGAATAAAACCAAGTTCGCTGAGTCACAAATTTCTATGTATTAAGAGAGAGCCTTATCTTCACTTTTAGTGCCAAGTAATGAAGAAATATTGCCACAGAGCAGAGAAAATAATAAGTAACAGAAAGAGTAATTAAAAATTTTTGATCTCGGTACCTCAGTCGTCCTATTCACCATCATCTGATGCAGCATGGTTTGGGAAAAAGAGGAACAGTATTAAAGACTGGCCGCAAAATGAAGAACTATGTTGCTTTTTGAAATGAGTTACGCTGTTAATTATGGGAAAAGCCATTCAAGCATGCATTAACTTTAAATCCAACCTCTGTTCCCATGGGCAATAAACCAGTATCCTATTTAATAGGGAAGCAGCGATTCTGCTTCCATTTCAGTGTCTTCTGGTTTACAAATAATGAGAGAACGCTGATTACCAAAGAAATGGGAGGTATAACTAAAAAGCAAAAAAAAATGAGCAGTTTGCAATTGCTGTGTAGCTAAACACTGCAAAAGTAGATACATTACTGGTGATACTGGTCGAGCAACTTGTCTTTCCCCACAGAAGACATTACCTTTAACCGTTACGACGAAGGAAGCATAAAGTTTGTTGCCCATCGGCACTCGGCCGCGCGACTACCCTGTTACCTCCAGGGCAGCATCGCGTTACCTTGGACTGCACATCAGCATTGTGGTCGTTCTGCAGTAGAAGCGCCGCTGATTTGGTGTCGTCTTTTCTAGCGGCAATATGCAGCGCTGGTAATCTCACTTTGCCCTTGGTGTCATTCTCCAGGAGGATGGCCACCGCCTGGTTGTGTCCTTGTTGCAGCGCAACGGCTAGAGGAGTGAAACCGTCCTGGTAGAGAAGAAAACAAGATGTGCTCCATAAGCTGAAGGGCGGACAGCTTCAGTGGTCTGCTGTTGGCCCATCAAAACCGGGCAAGCACGTTACCAGCTGCTTTCTACCTCTGCACCACTGTCTCCAGTGAAATGCCATCGGAGGCACAACATTGTAACCCAGATATGACTGCGAACACGCCAGAAGCACACTTCTTCCACTTCAAAGACTTTTAAGTCAAGTACAAGCAAAGGATCATTCTATAGTATCTCTCTCAGTAACTTCTCATCTTAAAATGGGCCACTAAGCGTATTTTTAGCAATATTTTGGTAAGCACTGAACGAAGTAGATGTGAAAAACATCCAGGGAACCTGTTTCTGAATATCTCGCCTCTCTGCAGAAAGAAAGCGCAGCGTCAGATGCGTTTGCTGCTATTTCCCATGCTGAGCTACACATGGACTATGACTCAAGAAAGCCAGATCGCCGTTAGGAATTTATTCTGACTTGAAGCAGGAAAACATCAGATTGTACTTTTTTGGAAAAACAAAGTCAGAAAAATCTGTCTGCTTTTCATTTATAGCTTTAGCTTTGTTTTACAATTATTTTCAAATTGTCTTGCTCCTCCACCCCCCTGGATTGCCAATGCTTTAAAATGCATCATAGGATCACAACTTGCTCTCTCCGCAGAAGTACTGCCTGCTCCCATCTCTTGTATTCTGGCTATAAAACTGAAACTAGAGGAACGGAGCAGCTCTCCGAGTCTGCGGCCGGAGGCACAGTGAGTAACAACGGACAAAAAGGGAAAGGAATCAAACAAGGTCTTCTATGTCTAGGTTGGAAGGAACAACTGAGGAGTTGATTATAGCCAGAAAGTGAGAAAACTGCTGTAGATACATTGCAAAAGGCACAGGAATGAGACAGAATTGATTTGGAATAGGAATATGGAAAGGTGACAAAATAATAAAGGACAAGTTAGGAAGGAATGAGAGCCAACATATGCTGAAAGAAACATCTGAAGAATTGCCAAAGCAATTTTTCCCCTTAGTAATCCAATAACGTTCACTCCCTTTTGCGTAGAACTGTGGGTAGGTGGGTTGTAACAGCGATACCGCTATGGTTTGTTTCTGTAATAGAGATTAAATTCTGTGCAGTGAATTAAAAAAGGGTGGACAGCTGACGAAACAGCTGAACCGTAAAGATAATTCTGAGATTGGGGCTACATTAGGTGTTGAAATGGCTTAATGCGTTTGCCTTTCGCCTCTGGGAACATGAGAACAAATCCTGGATTAGAGGCCCTGTGAAACTGAGCTCATCCTTACTCTCATTTGGTATATACACATATATAAACGTTAGAGGAAACAAAACATATCCAGAGGCAGTGCAAGTTTCAAAGCTCCAAAGACAAGATCAGCCATTTGATTTGCACCACTTTATTTTCCATCCTTCTCTCAAAGGACACAACTCTTTCAGCGTTCCCTTTCCTATTGCTTCTGGAAAGCGGGGCTGGTCGGAGCTCGGGGAAAGCATTTCATCTCCCCCCCTCCCCAGATGAGGACAGCCAACCTTCGAGGCCAAACAGAAGGTCCCTCTCCATGTATTTTGGTGGCATCCTCAGTTCAGGCTGCCATCCCCATACATAATGTACCAGTTCTTCATTCCCTTCATGACACTAACTTTGGGCACGTGTGAGAGCGGGCAGTGGCCCAGGCCACCCTTCAGTAACACCCAAATCACTGAAACCATCTCCTCAGCAAGACCTGAAACCAAACCTTATCTAGTGAAGCAGTAAGAGGGTAGACAGCCTTTACTTTCCAAACTACAAAAGTGAGAACTGACCTTTCTGATGGCAGAAGACAGACTTGGACTTGGGTTCAGAGTAGAGGGCAGTTGACTTTTTTTTTTTCTCCCCCCGCCCGCTGTTTTTAAAAAAAAAAAATCTGACTATACTGCGAGTTCCAGTGACGCCTGGATGTCTGCATTCAAGCAGAGGCCACGTTCATTACAACAATCTCAGCCTCACAGCTCCTGTAAACTAATGAATGAATTTCCAGTATGCCTGATCATCACAACCAGTAAAAGTTACTGGGAGAAAGGCTGCAAGCAGGTGACTGTGGGCTGTGGCCAAGCTGGGCTCCTGGAGAGCCACCGTTCCACCCGGCTCCTTCACCAGGAGCGTGTTTCTGCCACGTTGCCTGGCAATCACACAGGATTTCATATTTCAGAAAGCTGACATGTAATGTGATCACCATCTATGCAGGCCGCGAGAGGATTATTTTAGGAGCTGTCACCAAATGGTACAGTACCCACTGAAAGAAGGGACAGTAAAGCAGCTGTTAACACTAGCAGTTTGGTTTAAAGGAAAGAAGAGCGAGCATAAATGCACCATCATTTCAAATTCATCCACTTGTGAAGGCAATCCAGAGTAGGTAAGTGCCGGTACAGACTTAGGGAAAAGTAACAAACACAAGCAAAAGCTCTGCCAGGAGAGGAACTTTCCTATTACTACTTCACATGGCACATCCAGATCCATAGAACAAACACAAAGCCAGCACATTTTGCAGCACAGAGCCTCCTCGCTCGTCCCCTTGGCTTGGAATAAAAGAAAGAGGACAAGAGGAGGAAACGGAATGAGCATCCATCTCCTGAGACAGGAGTTTGCCCCATTGCCCTCAAATCCTCTCATCTGCAGAAGGAAGTTCTTATGGTTCAGTTCCTCTTCAGATGGAGTCTCATCTCTCTTTCTTTGGTGTCTGCCCGGCTTGCAGTGAAGTCATAGAATCATAGAATCACTTTGGTTGGAAAAGACCTTTAAGATCATCGAGTCCAACTTTTAACTTAACCCTGCCATCCCATCCCTAAACCCTGTCCCTCAGCACCTCATCTATCCTTCTTTTAAATAAATACCTCCAGGGATGAGGACTCGACCACCTCCCTGGGCAGCCCATTCCAGAGCCTGACAACCCTTTCGGGTGAAGAAGTTTTTCCTAATGTCTAGCCTAAACCTGCCCTGCCACAACCTCCAACCATTCCCACTGAATCCATTACCAGGAAGAAGAGGCCGACCCCCACTTCGCTACAGCCTCCTTTCAGGTAGTTGTAGAGGGCGATCAGGTCTCCCCTCAGCCTCCTCTCCTCCAGGCTGAACGCCCCCAGTTCCCTCAGCCGTTCCTCGTAAGCCTTGTGCTCCAGACCCCTCACCAGCTTGGTGGCTCTCCTCTGGACATGTTCCAGCAATGCAACATCTTTCTTGTAGTGAGGGGCCCAAAACTGAACACAGTATTCGAGGTGTGGCCTCACCAGCACCGCAGGTTTACAGAACTGCAGTTAAATCCAGAACCTAGCAATTAATACCATCCTTTAGCATATTTAGATCCACGTAGTCCAGCAGCAGAAGTGTCCGAGGAGAAAACAGCACATTGCCTGCTCAGCTCGTTGACGTGATCCTTGTTAGTCATTTGATTTCCAATTCATGCTCATCACAGACAACAACGAATATTCACAGGTTACGCAAAGTCGCAGACAAGCCTCAGGATCAGAGAACTCAGCTGGTCAAGGAGGTCCAGCTGCCAGCGCACTTAGGGGAACAGGAGCAGGAGGCTGAACTAAGTGACCTCCTGAGGCTCTGTCCTACCTGAATGGTTCTGTGAACCCAGCACCGCAGAGAGCCGACTCCACTCATCACTTCTGTCCGTGCGCTTGCCTGTTGCTCTCTGCAGAAAATATTCTGAACTCATCTAAAATCTCAAGACCCAACCTAAAAGGAAGCTCGTCAACAACTGACTGTCGATGCTAACTGCTTTTACAACATTCTGCACGGTACTCAGACACCCTTTCTAGACACAGTCCTCATAGTCCTAACTATGGTATTCACATTATGTTCCACACGCTTTCCAGCTAGCTGAGGAAGAAGCTGAAGCGAGCCTCCACCCTACTTTCCCCAGAAGACCCTTTATACAGCCAGGAGTGAGGGATACACGCTATAACATTCTATGCACCCATTTTTGCCCAGATCTTACAATGCAAATAAAAAAGCAGCACAAAGACAGCCCTGTTGCTCGGGTGATGGCAATCCTAGATGCTTGAGTTTCCGTGGGCTTTCTCGGAGATGTAAATCTGGTCAAATGAAGAGCTGTACCTCCCCACTTTGCCTATATCGATCTACTATTCACTCGTTCCCCTGACAATACAGCCTTGGCCTCCTGGAACTTCTACAGCCCTAGGGACCTTTCTCCAAAGCCTCATTCATTTTTCAGAAAATTCTCCAGGAAGCTGATAGCAGAAATGGGTACAAATTGAAGGTGAAAAACCCCTGGCTCACTAAAGGCAGTGGAAATATTGCTGTCAAATGAATCCGGCTGGATCGCATCCCTGACTCTCACCATTTCCAGAACAGTTCAGCCTTGTCTGCTGTGCGTGTAGAAAAAAAGATTCACAAATACAGCTCATCAAAATGAAAGTGTGGAAGTTCTCAAAATACTCCGTTCGAAAAACCTTCTGACTTTAAGTGATCTGGATATCAAGGCAAAGGGCAATAAGAGCGCGTGCAAAAAATGAATACTACAGCTCACCTCAGTAGCAGTGCTTTGGTTGGCTCCATTCTCCAGGAGGTATTTCACCACTTCAATGTGGTTCTCTTGAGCTGCCATATACAAAGGAGTAAAGCCATTCTAGGAAGAACACATGAGAAAGTACCGCAATGAGGAAACAGAATATACCAACGATAATGAACCCCAACTAAATATACGGCTAAAAATGCATTTGTGCTTTTTTACCGGAGATGTTTTAAGTATGTAAGTAGAACAACTTTGTATTTTTTAACTTAATATAGTAACATTTCAAGCCATTTAAACCCACGAAACTCTACATGCTTTCACACTCATTTTCTTTTGACACAGATTTTTAGGGAAGCAATGGACACAGTAATTATTAATACAGCTATTCCTTGCTGATAACGCTCAGGGACTGTAAAGCTGGCAATAAAGTTTTATGAAAGCTGACAGGAAAGCAAGTTTCCTCCATTTATTACATTAACTTAAGCAAAGACATCATCCCCTGGAGACCATAAAGTCCATACCTCGTGACAAGCTGAGTAGAGATGACAAAGGCATAAAAATTTTGTAATACATAAAACATTGCAAATCATCAAACATAAAGGAACTCAACCGTGCGAGGCAACAACTGCATTTCTGACCATACAGTAAGTTCATCTATCATTTGATTATAAACATTCATTAAAATCTCCTAGAGTTCTTAAAAGAATCTTCTCTGGTAATACAGTAATTTTAAAAAAAAAAAAATCCAAATTAATCAAACTACAGGCAAATTCATTAGAAACATAAGTCCTTGCCTCCCATTAAAATATTTTAATGCAAACAATTTTAATTAATTAATTAGCTACAGAATCCTTACGGAAGGGAGGCATGGAAGTGAGCTGCCTGCCTAATAACTTTCTTCTAAGAGTTTGTAAGATTGTTAAAAAGGCCTTAGAAAATTCTTTAATATTCTGTAGATTACCATGTATCCTAACAGGACGTGACCACCTACACTTCTGAAAACATTCTTCTGCCTTGGGATGGCACTTTTAGCTAGAACATCAACCATAAACCAGGCTTTAAATGTGCACATTTTTTTTTTATTTTTTTTCTAATTTTGCGTGCTGTCACGGCGAATGATAAGCTTGTGCGTTTCCACAAGCGGGCAGAATTAATGCAAACAGCGTGAAAACTCAGAACATTGTTTCAGAGAAGCCAATGTTATTCTTTCTAGTGAACTTGCTGTGGAAACATTCCAGTAGTTTCCTAATAAAATGAAAGATAAGGCAGTTGATTGCCAAACTGATGTCTTTACAACCCCCCGCTGCATTTACAGATGTAGAAGATTGCTCAGGCAATAAACTACATTTATGTTGTGTACATCACGTGATATATATCATATATGTTGTAGCAAGTCTTTTAATACTGCTCTGCATAAAATTCTGGCACTTCCACCAACAAACTTGGGACATATAACTAAAAACTGGCACCCGGGGAACAGTTAACAGCAATTCAATGCCAGAACTGTGGGATGTATTTTGAGTGGCTTTGCAGAGGGCTCCGTCTTCCGCAGGTATTATCCCATATTCTCCCAAGTAACGACTTGAAGGATGGAGTAAGGGTGCTCTTATTACAGTTACAGCCAGCACGAACAAGATGGCCTGCAAGTACACCACGCGACAGGATCCTAATTCGAAAGGTCGCTGTGATGAGGAGAAAATAGCTGGAAATGTAATTTAGTAAGGACAAATACAAGTTTCTCCACTACTACAAGAAAACCAAACTATGCAAATAGGGAATGATGAGTTAAAGAGGAATTCTGCAGAAAAGGACCTGAAGGTCGCAGCGGTCGGCCAGAGAGCCCCCGGTCAATGAGCTCATTCTGCTGTAATAAAGACAATCGTTGCACTGGCCTAAAAATATACGGCCCTGGGGAAGCTATTTTTCTTTGAGAACAGACTAGTAATTGGTGTTGGCCTGTGTGGAAAGGGAAAAGTGAAGGAAAACAAGATAACAGTCTTTAAAGAGGAGGGTAAAGGTCTGTTCTGCATGCTTGGGATGACTAAACCTAACAGAAAAGCGCATCATTTGCTAGGGTTGCTGGAGAAAACATTCAGGTTGGACATCAAGGAAAGCAAAGTCAGTCTGCATCGCATTTTGTCAGGCAGCTTTCCTCCTCCCAAATCACTGCTAAAACCAGGCAAACGTGGCACCCTCTTCCACGTCCACCCTGGGGCCAGGAGGCCGGCGAGTTGCGGGGGGGGTGCTGGTCTCCTGGCTGCTTCTCGGACAACTCTTTAGTGGGGGGGGGGGGGGGTGGAAATAAGAGATCTCATCACAGCACAGTATGAAGGAATGGGGTTCAGCGTGCAATTCGGAAGGTGCAGAAGGGCAGGGGATGGGCAGGCAGAGGGACGGAGCTGGCAGCGGGAATTACGAACAGATTGGTTTCTTTTCAATTGCACTCGGACAGACAGGAACAGAGAAAACCGCAGGTAACCGAGTTGGCTCACTGTTTCGGTTTTCCTTCCCACTCCGGAAAGAAACAAAATGGCAATGTATTAGGTACAACTAATAGTAATTTTCCACCTACCTTATCAGTATTTTAATACTAAAGTCTATCATAGCAGTTTTTAAGATAGCAATACATGCCACATCTAAAATCCTTCTAGCACTGAGTATTACATGGATGAATAGAAGGATCGCACCGACAAATACAAATTTGGGGACTATGAGAATTTTCAAGCCACAGTAAAACAATTTCCTTAAAAGCTTTCAAGAATCGTATTTTTTTTAATCAGGTCAAGTCCCTAGCTCTGGAACAGGATCAGGACAATAAATCCTGGATTAAGAGACCATAAACAATACATATAAGACTTCACGACCATTTCGTACCAAATGCTTTTCCACACAGAGACCCAGAAGAGTGCCCATTATATCAAGGATATCTTCCTCGCGTGCTACAATCATACGTGAAACTACAGCAATCAGGGGTGGGGGGTGTAAGGATATTGTTGCACATAAAATCATAGCCCTTTTTTTTTTTTACTTCAAGGTTTATTCATAGTTTAAGACTACTGTATATATTTTCTGAAAATCTGGCTTATTTCGGAAATCGCAACAGCAGGCCAAGGTCTAGATGCCAAACTGCCTATAGCAGACACAGCTTCCCCTGAATTTCTTCCCCTGGCAAGGTCAAGCCTGACTTTTTCCGCTGGCAGGGTGAAGGCTGCTTTCCCAGTGAAGAACTGGTTTCAGAGCTTCTAATTGCGGTGTTCCTGACCTCAACGCTTCTGGCTCTTGGCCAGAACCCTCCTATTTTAGGATTCCCGGTATTACCACTCTCCTTGGCAGAGATCCGCCCAGTGGGTTTACCCGTTAGCCCTGCTGGAGCTCTTCCTTCTCATTTGTCCACCGGACCCCAGGACTTCCACGCCTCCTCCCGTCCCACATAGCTCCTCTGATGTCTGTCTGTCCCTCTCCTACACAACAGGTTTCTGTGTCTCTCCACCAGTCCTGTGGTTAACTGGAAATGCCCACAACAAAAGCACATCCTTCCCTTCATTTCCTTTACTTTTCTTCATCTAAAATCCCCTTCCCAGCTTCTTGCCTTTTAGCTTTCAAAGAGCTATATGCCAACACCTGGGTTCTCCGTTCTGCTTCTAGAGATATTTCAAAGCTCAAGATCCCAGATCTCTGCAAACTGAAGAAAACATGGTTGTCCTAGACTTTTGTTTCACTACCCCAAAGTGTCTTCTACTGAATCCACAACGTTCTAGTTAAGGATCCTCCACAGACCTACTGCAAAGGAGACCGACCTCTCCCTTCCTTGTTTTCGCATGTGGAATGGGATGCAGAGGGTTTAGTGGGCATGGGGTGGGGAATCCTTTATTTCAATAAATTTTCCTTCAGCTTAGGATCCCGTACTGTATAAACACAGTCCAGAATTAAAATAGAAATACCGACTGTGGCATATAAATGTGACCTGGAAAAGGAGAAATTCACTTTATTTTGCTTTTTCTGACAGCCCGGCTGTGTAATTACGTTACGTCTGTATGTTTAGATTTTGTGCATCATCTGAAAAATAGAAATTAATTTTGTAATGATATATAATACTCATTTTCAAACAATGATTTCATCAGACTATTTGTAGTGAGGACAGAGTACTCAGATGTCATTATCCTTACGAATGTATACTGCAAGATGTTTACTGCTATAATATAAAGTTCTAATGAGAAATTAACGCCAAACAAATAGAGTATATTTCATACTCCATTCTTTCTACCACAGTCACTGATTTACTTGCTAATTTGAGAAAATTAGTAGCTCTCAATGATTCTTCAAGCTATTAATGCAAATTGGCAAGTCTATATATGACTCAGAATTTGTATCATTAAATTTTGCCCAAGCCCTAACGAAGAACACAGTCTGCAGAAGCAGAGGGATTATTAGAGCATTCAGAAAACCATACAAACAGTTACATAGCTCGGTTGAGCTTTATTTTATGGCAGGCTTTCAGGGAACCGGGCGCTCTTCGCATGCAGTACCAAATGATCAGAAGGACGCATCTTCCAAATGCTGACTGGTAGCCGGTGCGTTTGAACAGCCTAGCCTAGCCTAGCCTACCCCTGCTTGTCCATGAAGATGTGGCCTTTAGTGCCTATATGCCTATGGTATCTATAGACCATATATCCCTATACATCTCTCTATATTCATACTGATATGGAAAACAGAAAGATAGTACCTCTTCCCTCAGTTTGCCTGTTTTAAGATGACACATGAGACCTGGCAACATATCCTGTGATTAAATAGCTAATGTAAACCCAGCTGAATAAATCTATTTTAATTTAAAGGCCTCCAGGACCTGTTTAAGACTGTATTAGACTATCATTAAGATTACCAGGGAAGACGAGACAGCTGACATCTCATGCCAGGACATACAGCAAATGTTCATTCCTGTTTACTCTTCAAAATGTAATTACCAGTCAGAAGGTCAATGCAGTCAGCAGATTGCCCGACCCAGACCACTCGCCTCCTCTGCCTCTCCACCTTACCGCATGGGTTTTTAGTTTGGCGTTTTGGTAGCCTTCTCCCCCCAGTTTTGCTTCGTATCAAGGAAATAAAAAAGTTACTTT